ATCTGGGCAGAGAGGCTCTGAGGCTGGCATTCCCCTGCTTGGGTTGCTTCCCTGTGGGACTGCACACTCTGAGCTTGCACACAGAATCACAGAATGGTTTGGACTAGAAGGGACCTCAAAGTTCCAACCCCCCTGCCAAGGGCAGAGATGCCACTGACTAGATCAGGTTGCTCCAAGCCCCATCCAACCTGGCCTTGAACACTTCCAGGGATGGAGCATCCACAGTTTCTCTGGGCAGTCTGTGTCAGTGCCTCACCACCCTCTGAGTAAAGAATTTCTTCCTAGCATCTAACCTAAATCTCTCCTCTTTTAGTTTAAAACCACGCCCCCTTGTCCTACTGCTCTCTGCCTGCATAAAAGCTTTCTCTCTCTTTTTCTGTATGCCTCCTTTAGGCTGCTCTAAGGTTTCCCCAAAGCCTTCTGTGCTTCAGGCTGAACAGTCTCAACTCTCTCAGCCTGCCTCCATAGCAGAAGTGCTCCAGCCCTTGGATCACCTCCGTGGCCTCCTCTGGTTCTGCTCTAACAGGTCCACGTCATTCCTGTGCTGAGGACCCCAGACCTGGGTGCAGTACTCCAGGTGGGGTCTCGTGAGGGCAGAGGGGGAGAATCGCCTCCCTCAACACGTGCTGCAGCGGCTCTGATGCGTGAATTTTTTTTTTAAGTTTTATTTCCCCCTAGTCCCCCTTCCCTTGTGGCACACGTGGGTATTTGAGACCCCCAAGTGGGACCTTCCTCGCTTCTATCCCTATAAAACACTTCTGTAAAGCCTCCTGATGGTTAACTGCATGCCAAGGTTGCACGTGGCTCCGAACAACATCTTGAATTGTAGCTGGAGACCCAGTAATTGAGTTGCTCCTGTTCCTTCAGATGGTGAGCGTGACCAGCTGTTGTTATGTAGTCTCTCCTCCAGTCCTTCTGGGAAATCACACCGTGATTATATTTCTGGCTTAAGAAACTTTTTTCCCTAATCAGACTGGGCCTCACAAAGAGGTTGCCACTTAGTGGTAATTACTTGCTTTAGAAGCTGAATGTCTCCTGAGGATTGCAAATAGCGGATTATCAAATTAATTAGTTAAACCAAGATGTGCTTTTGTGAAGCCGAGACCTGCTTTACTTGTGATCTGAAATAAAGGTTTAAATGTTATTAAACTGCATACAACTGGCTCTTGTCTCCCTAATGGGAGGAGAGCCATTTCTTTCCTGAAATGTTGTTGGTGCAAAGGGCTGCTTGCAGCTCTACTTGCTGCAGCACTTGTTGCTTTTCTTTTACAAAACGTGTTTTGAGCAAAATCTATCACTGGTTTTAAGGCACCTGCTTGTGTTTGGGTCTAATACTGCTTCTTGGTGGCTTCCCATGCTTTTGTAGGCTGCCATTGGAAGGGGAATAGGGTTGGATTTGGTGATCCTTGTGGGTCCCTTCCAAGTCAGGATATTCTGTGAGGGTTCATGGTGGATATCTTGGTGGGATTGTAATGTACCTTCCTTGAAATTGTACTTTCAGGGTACAGCTTAATCCATGTCTGTGCACATGGGATCTGGCAGAGAACCCTGGTCTGGTGATGAGATGCCTGGAAGTAGATTCAGAGGCATCCACTGATCAATGGGTTAGCAGGAGCTGTAGGTCCTGGAGTACTGCTTTGCCCCAGCCTGCTCCCAGGCTCTCCTTTCCCTTGGAAGTCTCTGTGGCCATAGGAAATGCTGAGGACTGCACCAGTGATCGTGCTAAATTAACGTGGAGCTCATGGTGGTATTTTCCTAAGAGCTGTTGGCCACTGTAGTGTAATCATCCTGCTAACATGCATATTGCACAACTTCCCCTAGGTCGGGAGATGTCCTTATCTGGCATCTAAAACATCTGTCCTGTGTTTCTTCCAGCATAGCTGAATCCTATTCATAAAAGAATTAAGCATTTCCTGATTTGCAGAACTGAAAATAACCAGAGCTCTGCTAGTGTTGACTAAAAGGCAGAGGTCCTTTCCCTGCCTCCTACCTCTGTCTGTGCTCTCTCCCAGCTCTTGTGGGGCTCTGGATTGTGGTACTGCTTCAGGCACTTGAGAAATACTGCAGCACCAGAAACCAGATCAAGAAAAGGGGGGAAAGAGATGACGGTCTGAAGTTTTCAGAACAGTTTTTGTACTGACCCCTCTCCCACCTCTTTCTCTTTCAACTCTGGGGAGGCCCCACAGCCTTCAAAGTTTGGCTGCCCATCCCTCCTGACGTCAGGGTCCGCTGCCTTGTGCTGTATTTCACCTCTGGGGCAGATTGTGCTCAGCGATACTCAGCAGCTGCCGAAGGTGGGTACCAAAGAGGTTCTCTAAGTGTAGAATTGCCCCTCAGTCCATACAAAAGACCTGGGTCTGCTGGATGGGAAGCTGGAGCACCCAGATCTCTGCCAGCATGGATGACAGCAGCCTTTTGCAGTGGCTTCAGCAATTAAACCCACCCTGAGGAAAGCACAGGCCTCGCACAAGGGCGAGGAGACAGTGTGAGACTGTGCTGGGGAACAAGCACAGCATTGTTGTCAGCCTCAGTCAAGAGGGGCTTTTTAACACCCACTGGAGTGCTGGCTACAGCTGTCCCCCATGTGCTTGTGTGGGAAATGGATCTACAATGCAGGAGAAGAGGGAAAGGCCACTTTGCAATAAATAAAAAAAAAAAAAAAGTCTCTTAGGATCCAGCCACGAGTAAACAGCAGTGAGATGTTCCCCTTAGTGCGGTGCCACGGCACAGGAAATCACGTCACTGCCTCCAACAGCGATGGGGGTGAGCTGAACTCGGGCTCCTCAGCCTGGAATTCCATATGGGGGAAGGTGCTCCTGAGCTTTGAGTGCAGTGTAGGAATGGGAGGAGGTGGGAGGTTGGGCTCTAAGCCGCTCCTGTGTTCAACAGCCCCTTCCCCCTCTGCCTCTATAAATGTGTACCTACAGCACCGACTTCCTGCATTCTCCTGAGTGGTGCAGGCTTGGGAGCTTGTGGAGAGCTTTCAGTTGTCATGGAAAATGGGATATACTTCCATGGTGCCAATGTAGCCTTGTGCAGATGGTGAAAGCTGTGGTCAGAGGCTCTGGGAGGCAGGTTCCTCATCCTCCTGCTATGACTATGACGGGGAAAGAAAGGCTCTCCTGCATCCACAGACAAGATCTAAGATCTCAAGTGAGTCGTTACAGATGACAACAACTAGGTGGTGCCTGTGCTGGGTTGTTAACCCCTGTTGCAGGGGCAGGGATGCTCTCCTCTCCTTCACCCAGTTTGGGATTTGCAGTTGCTGTCACCTGACATGGGCACTGCCTGCAGGGGCAGTGCTCTGCCGATGTGGGGAGGTGACTGGCTGTTCTAGGCCACGGGGGAGCCTCTGCAAGCACAGGGTGTTTGCAGGCCAAGTGCTGACAGTGAGGCAGCTGCTCAGCTCTGGGCACTGCCAGTGTCACAGCCCCTTTTGGGAGGGCACTGCTTTTTCCTTAAGGAGGGCAAACTGCAACCCTGCAGGGACTGTCCTTGCTGCCCACAGGGAACGCAGCAGCAACACCAAGCAGCTGGTGGATCGAATGGTTGGCTTTGGGGCTGCTCAGACCCTCAGTTGCTGGTTAGGTCTGGAAATGTGCCGTGAGGCCATCATGTGCAGGGAGGTTTTAGGGCCAAGTGTTGGCAGTCTTCCCTGAGAAAGGAGCATCTGAAGGTGGTCTTGAGCTGGACCAGCCTGCATGGGCTCTGCTGCTGGCCCTGTGGGACAGGGCTTGGGAAGGCTGTGGGAATCTGCCCCCTGAGCCAAGGCAGCAGAGGTGTTGGTAGCAGTCGCTCCAGCTTCATCAGGCAAGTACCCTGTGCTGCTCTACTGAGCTTGTCCATGCAGGAGGTGTCTTCCCTCCTGCTGTAGATATGAGTAACCCTTCCTCTTGGGCTGGATTGGTTTGTGTAACCCCTCCCAGAAGTGGGGACAGCCAAGTACCACTACGGTGGATTCCTTGACAGAGGGTCAGTCTCCTCTGAGGCTGCCAAAACCATGCACTGCTTGGTCTGGGGAAGCAGTATCTGGTCCCAGGCCCTGCACCTCGTGCCCAGGGCTCCAAGGTTCTGCCTGTGTGTCACTTCCCGCCCTGCTTCCCGTTACACAAAGCCTTTGTTTGTCAGCAGATCCTGGGATGCCCCGCGGCACCTGCCTCTCTCCTCTCTCTCCGCCTCCGTGGCTCTGCCCTTTCCCGTTGTCACTTCTGTAGGCTGCTGCCTGCCTGTTTGGTGACCTTCCCTTGTGTTCGGGCACTGCTTTTGGCCCCTGGCCATCTTAAACAATTAATGGAGGGGTGGAGAAACTTGCCGTGTTAAATTACTTCCTCCTTTGGGAGGGGGTGAGGTCTCCACATCTCGCTCCCGATCCCAATGCAGTTTGTTGCTGTTGCCTGAAGCGGTCACTGCTCTCTGTTTTCCTTCTAGAAGTTAGAAAAACAATATTTCAGAGCGCTCTCTCTGTGTTCCTCGTCATTTTGCTTAACCTGCAGCGCTGCCTCAGGATCTCGCGGAGTGGAGAAAAACTTCTCCGGACTTAGAGAAAAACAAGCCAAGAGGAGGAGGCGGCGGGGGTAGGGCGTGTGTGGGGGGAGTATTTTGCTGGAAACCTCTTTGGGAAGCTGGAGACCTTCTCGGGATGCCTGCCGTGGGCTTGTTCTCCTCTCGCAGCTATTCAGATCTTCCCGGGCGAAGGCAGCTCCCTGCCACGACGCGCCTGCATTAAGCGGGTCCGTGCGGCGGCCCGGGCGCTCCGAGGGCCGTGGATATCAGCGATGCCGTAAGGAGCAGCCCGGGAGCGCCTCTGGCTCTGCCCGTGTCCCCAGGGTCCCCGCAGGGCTGGGGGACGCGGCACCCTGCTCTGGCTATGCCCCTCTGCCGTCCAGCGCTGGAGTTGGCTGTCAGAGAAACCTTCGAGGTCCCCTGCTCAGCCCCGGTAGTGTCATGAGTTAGATTAGTTGGAGCTGTGCTGGGGGCGGTGAGGGCTTGGATTACAGTCCAGAACTCAAAGTGCTTCGGTGGTTCACGTCGGAGGGGAGAGGAGACGCCCCGTCGCACACATGGAGGAAAAAGAGAAAAAACGCCGTCTCTGGAAGTGAGGGGCAATAAAGGAGGCCGGGAACATGGTAAGGAAATCTCTGCGAAGGGCTCTCGCCCTGGGCACGAGCAGGGCTGTGCGGGATGGAGCTGCTCTCGGGGCAGCCTCCCCGGAGCCAGCGCACGGCGCTAATGCCGGGAGCGGGAAGCGGCTCCTCTGGCACTTCCCGTTACTCGGGTGGTTCCCCTCGGTGCCAGTCCCGAACGGTGGCAGCAGGGACACGGAGCTCTTGCTGGCACTGACCCTCTGCGAGGTGCCTGCCTGCCTGTCAGGGTGCAGCGCTGGAGCGAGGAGCTGGGATGGGGCAGGTCAGGCAGGGCCCCGTCTTTCGGGCTGCCTGGATGCTGGGCTCTCCTCCTGCCCTCGCTCTTTGCCGGCCCTGCTCTGGGGCTGTGGGCGCTGCCCCATTGCAGAGCCTGGAGGAGAGGAGAGCATCGGCTTCTCCTGCCCAGGGTGGGCATCTGGGGGATCAGAGAACCCCTGGAGCCGGGCAGGGACTCTTCCCTTGCGGTGCCAAGTTCTGCACGTGGAGATCCTTGTTTGGGGAGGGGTGAGGCTGGTGAGCCCAACAGGCAGCAGAGTACCCAGTCTCCCTGGGAGTGGCTGCAGGGCTGTCCCCTGCCCAGCCACGGTGGTGCTGCCCTGCAGAGGTGCCCAGCCCTGGGCTGGCAGAGGCTGGAGGGATTGCTGGCCCTGTGGTGAGATCCCACTGAGCACCAACCTGGCTTCTGATGATGGTTTGCTCCTGGGCTCAGGCTGGGATCCGTGTGCCCTGCAGCCCTAAATGTCCTGGAGGTGACCTGCTGTGTCATGGGCTGCTTCCCCACAGCAGAAGGAACAAAGTCCATGAGGGGCACAAGCAGCTTGCATTGCTGCTGTGCCTGGCAGTGACTTGCTCTTTCCTAAAAGTTCAGCTTCTGAGCCTGGAGAAGTTTGGCTTTCATTGAAGGGTGAGTTGACCAACTTCTAGCCTCTGCAACCTGAGCTAACCTTATAGACTCATGTCTTTTCCCTTTGCCTTTCCCTTTTCCCTCCAGCTACTCTGCAGAGGATTCTGTGGTGCTCTGTACCCTCACATGCCAGTGTCAGAGCCGTGGTGTGCTCTCTTCTCCCATCCTGCTATGGAGGCCTGCAGGCATCTCACTTCTTCCACTTCTCCATCCCAATCAGGAGACTTATTTCCCTCCCCCCACGCCTTGTGTGTTCCTGGCAATTTTTGGTCTATGCTGGTTAGTGTGTGAAGTTGAAATCAAAGGAAAGCACTGTTTGGGCCTGTGCAGGGTGGAGGCCATCCCTTGCAGTCCCATGGGCTGTATTTTGCCATAAGGGCTGGAGCAGCACTTGTGAAACTCTGCTCGGGGAGGCCTGAGGCAGAGACCAGCTGCTGCTACTCTGCTCCTGCAAGCTGGAGGTGACTTTCTGATTCCCAAATGCTTCATCCCCAGTTCAGGTCCTCCTTCATGTTGTCCTAACGTGTGATGCAAACGCTGTCTGAAGCAGGGTCCTTTGTGTGGAGCAGTGCCACAGCCAGTCCAGGTGACACGGTGGGTTGTGGGTGTGCAGGGACCGTGTGCCTCTCAGGTGCTCGGTGCAGCTGGAAGGAGCAGGAACCAAAGGTCAGGCTGCCACAGGCCCAGCAATGGGTGCTGACCACACTGCAGACACTTGTTGTCCATGGCAGATGTTTGTTCTCAATGCTGTGTAGACCGGTCTGCATTTTGGGAGACACATTTCTGTGAGCAACCAAGTTGTAACTGCAGCTCCAAGCTGTTCTGTTTGAGTTTTTGATGTCCTGGTGAATCAAACAAACCCCGCAGGCAAAAAAATACGGATCTCAGTGAATGTGTGTCAGTCTGCTGGCCTGCAAGAGACTTCCCTGTTGCCTCCAGCAGCCTGCAGGACACTTGGAGGCTTGGCTCCTGATGGAGGTCTGGCAAGGGACAGCTGCTGGCTGCCCTGCTCTGCATGAGGCAGGTGACTCCTCTTCGTGGGGCTTCAGTTTTAGGGCTGGTGTGATGTGTGTGCAGTTGGGGGATGCCTAAAGCACCAAATGGGGTGAGGTACCTTGGGCCAAAGTAGCCCAATTCCACTAGAAGTGACTTTTGCAGTTGTGGAAACCCCATGGCGTGAGCAAAGCAGGAGCCTGGCTGGGCTCTGTCTACCTTGCTCATCCCATCATGGCTTTTGTGACTGGGGATCTGCCCTCGTTCCCTGGTAGGGAATGGGAGAGAGAGGGGGCTTCACCTTGCCTTGATGCTTCCTGCAGAAGAGTTTAGGTGGCACCTCTATGCTGGCAGGAGAGAGGATGGGTTTCAGCAGAAAATAGGGTCTTTCTTTTATCCCCTGGTTATGTCTTCTCCCAGGGTGGGAAGGAAATGAGTCTGGGAATCACAAAGAGCTTTAAGCATTGGGGATCTTCTTTCTTTATTTCTGTGCCAAAGCCATGAGTAAGATGTTGGAACGCAGACAAAGTCCAGACACATAATCCTGAGCACATGGAAGCGGTTTGAAAGCACCTCCTCTGGGGTAACAGGGATGACAACTTGCATTTTGCCCAGAGTCCTTCCAAAAGCACTGGGCAGCTGAACATGCTGCTCATTGTAGCACTAAAAATAATGGCTAAATGCAGGTGACAGACCAGCTGCATCCAGGTATCTCCACCCAGGAATCACCAAATGTCTTCTAGTACCACGTGGGAATGCCAGACTGCAAGTGCTTATGGTGAGATGCTGCAGGCATCCAAGGAGGACTCCGTGCTGAGTGTCAGCACTTATCTTCAGCAAACCAGCATCCTGTAGCTTAACCCCCTCTGGCCATGCTGCTGCCATCTTCCCCCATGGGCAGTCGGCCTGAGGGCACACCCTGCTAGCAGAAGAGATCATAATGTGAGTGCCTTGTCAGCATCTTGCAGCTGGTCACTTCAGACATGACAGGCAGCATGTCTGCCTCTAAATACTAGGGCACAGGCACAGCCACTCAGCTCATGGAGCCTCATTTTTCTAGTTTCATCTCAAACATGACCCTGTCTGCAACTGATCTGTGATCTGTGCAAAACCTGAACCATCCTACAGGCTGTGTGCCTAAACCTGAGCATCGGTGCCGAGTGTGGGTGGAAGTCACATCACAGGGGCTACAGGCCCTTTTAGCACCCAGCTGCTGGAAAAAATCTCTGTTAAAACAGTGGCGTCTTCTGTGGAAACTATAAACTGAACCCACCTGTGGGCACTCATATAAGAGCACCTTTTGTTCATATTCCTGGCTCCCTACCCGTGAGGGACCCCCCTGTTCCAGTCCTGCAGAGTTCAATGTATCCAAGGCCTGAAAAAGGGAGCAGCAGCACCAGGATCAGATGTGTTGCTGACTGAACAGCAATATAAAGCAAGGAGAGGCTGCTGGAGAAAGCTGGTCACCTCTGGCCATGGGATGCTCCATACTTTCTGCACCACTCCTGGTACCTGGGTTGCAGCTCAGAGAAGTGAGTGGACATGCCCTTGTTGACTCTGAAGGTTTGACCATGCTAATACCTCTCTGCCACACCGAGTGCCTCATCTCTGTTGGCTGGCCTAGTCTTTCATTAAAAAATTAACAAAAAAATGGGGCCTTTCTTGTGGTAAGTGCTCCTGGCTGGTTTCGTACGTATCCCATTTTTTGCATCATTGGACACCAAGCTGAAACTTCCAAGATCAAAGCAGCACAGAATGAATCTGAAAGTCTTTCTGTCTGCTCAAATTTACCGTCCTGCCATCAGGCTGGGAAGCCCGGGATGAACCCTTGCTCCAGCTGGTGCAACCAGACATTTTTTTTTTTGAACAGGATCAAATGGCTCAGCTGAAAAGAAGTGGGGACCAGGTGAGGACTCGCACGTGCTCCTCCTGGACGCTGGTGGATGTGGTAGAGGGGAGCCTCCGTGGGGCCTTCTGGTCACCCCCAGTGGGCTGTGGTGCTGTGTCCCCACGGTGGTTTGTGTGGTGCAGAGGAGGAAAGCTGCTGGAGTTCTGGTGACCTGAGCTAGGTGTCTGCCTTGAGCTTTGCAGCCTGCCTTGGGCGTGGCAGAGGCTTCCTGAGCAGGTTCCTTCAGGAGGATCCCTTCCCCGAGGCTGCCTGTCAGATCTCAGTGCCTCCCAACAAAAACCCGGCGCTGCTGAGCCTCCAACATGGTTAAAGGATGTGGGTTGTTTGCTGTCTGTTGTCATCTTGCTGAATACATTTACCTTTTGAACAAGGTCCCTCTCATATGCTCAGGAGGCTGGTATGCAGACCCGTTAATGGATCAAGGGGAAAAATGCCTGTGGATGTATTCTCCTTTGTGTTTGGGCTTATAACCACCCACGTTTTGGCATACATCCCTTCTGTGCACAAAGATCTTTTAGAAATTGCTAGTTAAATCTCCACCCTCCTTTGATATGTATGGAAATAATGGGACACGTGAGACTGTTTTCTGTTTGGGGAAAAAAAAGCTATAAAGGGAGTAGCTTTAAAAGCCTGTGTTCACCCCTTTCTAACACAGGAGTTTAGTAAAAGCAATTAATTTCTGACTGATTTACTCAGCTTTCCAGGAGGCATGCATTTAGTGCTGTATCCAAATACAGGGGAAATGGTTTCATCTGACTCTGCCCCGGGCTTGGCTGCTCAGGGGCAGGAGAGCTTGAGCACATGTGTTTCTGTACCCAGTGAGCTTGGAGAGCAAAATCTGGGTCCCTCTAACCAGGAGCACTTCTCCCTGCAGGGCACAGACTGATGCTTCTTGGGGTGGCCCGTGGCTGAACTGGCATAGCCATGGACATCTCTGGGCTGCCTGCTCTGTCCTTCTGGTTCATCCTTCCTTACAACTTCTTCCCCAGATGTGGCATCTGGTTGCTGCTGCCGGCTCCTTTCTCGCATCAGAGGTGTGCAGGGATGTTCTCCTCCAAGGAAGGTCCTTCTGCACTGACTGTGTTCTCTTGCTGGCCCTTCCTGGAATTGCAGCTCCACTTCAGAGGAATTTCTATTCCCTTCTGACATAGCAGGACTTGTATTTCATTAGCTCAT